AACTGGGCATACAGTACTACCTCAGTGGAGGCTGTCATCAGGCCCAAGGAAGGACAGAAAATTGATTAATCTAAGGCTTGCTTTTTCTTTTTGAAAATTCTATTTATTGCTTTTAATGAATGTTACAATCCATACATTAAACATACAAGACAATACAGTGTACAGAAGGCACACAACTTATTGGAGAGCCAGTGAAAAACAAAACGACTAACTACCAACAATATGGTACAATCAAAAACCCAGCCCACACACACCCCCTCCCTCTTCCCGGTCAGTGCAATTTTCTTTCGTTGGCGGATCAAGAAGGATATCGTCCCCAAGCACAGTGAAAACAATGTCTCCACTATGGAGTGTAAACACACATGAAAACAGCATAGTACCCATAGTCACATAGCAAGCACCTCAAGTTCGGAGATCAAAGGATTTAAGAGAATACAAACCCAGTATATCCAAATGTCAGCATGGAAGCCTCAACTGAGTGTAGACGTAACAGCTAGCCAAGAATGCCATACTTTTTCAAAATTTCTCAGGCAGCCCCTGCTCAAATATGTAGCTTGTCTATGGCTTGCTTAAGTCCTACATTTGAAGAAGAGCTTATTCTGTTGAAAAACAACAAACCTACTGGCTGGATCACCAAATGAACCTAAGAGAATGAAAGTCTAAAAAAGAAACGTAATGCAGCCATCACATCTAAGAATTGGTAAGCTACAATATAATAAATGCTTGCTTTTTGGATTTTATTCTTTCTGGATTTAATACTGCTTTGTAGCCCTTGGAAATTACATTCTGAACTCACATGTCTGAGAGTTCTTGGGACCAGGTGGCCGAAATGGCCAATAGATGACCCTTCACTCTGACAAGCTCCTTCATTGGGAAGAAGGTTTGGACCCAGACTTGGCTTGCTTGGAGATCCAAGTCTTTCAGCAGAGAATGCCCTAGGCTTAGACTTGGAGCTTGAAGACTAAAAGGGACAAAATAATTGAAGGCTTGCCAATGGGAGGGCGAACCTCATTTTTTGGGGAGGAAAATATTCTTATACCCAGTGATTTTCTTTTCCAAGGATGTAAAAAATAGTTCAGTCAATCAGATTTTGAGGATCCTTCTCAAATGAATAAAAAGGAGGTTCAACCTGGATATCTGGTGAAGAGTATCCACCAAGCTACCCACACAGTTTAAGGCCACAGGTAGTGGTGAACAGAGAGTTCTAGTAAAATGGAGCCAGGGTCTTTTGCCATGCACTTGATCCAAACAGCAATGGTCTGGTTAGATGCCCCTGGATGCAACCATAGGTTGAAAGGTGGGTCCTGCCAAAGAAAACAAGACTTCAAAGAGGGCTTCTAACATCTTGTCCACCAGGTGCTTGAAAATATGATTATTTTTTATAGGCACCATCAAGGTTTTGCCATGGCAAGGAATAGCAAATAAACTGGAAAGGTCTTAGCAGGTTTGAGCATTTTTAAAGCACCAGCTTGTGCAGCTGTTGCACGAGTAAAGTTAGAGACCAGCTCAGAAGGAGAGACTGAAGGAGCTCATTTGCAACTCCTGCATTCTACAACCTCTAATAGAATTGTGATCCCACCTTGTGACCTTCACTGCTGGATAGAGGCAAATGTGAAGCCCTGGATACTTCCTGGGTTCAAACACTGTAGGCTGCTGAAACCCAAAATGTTTTCTAGGATTGCTGTGCTGTATTGAGGTAGCAGTGTGGCCCATTGGAGAGCCATAAGGACGTTAAAGGTGCTTACATGTGCAGTAGGACTGGGGAGATTAGAGCTGCACGGGTGCAGTGATGGACCATGCAACAGAAGGAGACTGAAAATTACTTCATATTTAAAATTGCTGGCACTCCCATGCCATGGCTGCAACACATTATTTAATAGTGTCACAGCGTGTGCTTGGCAACAAGTCACCATGGAATTGAAGTAACAGCACACTGAAAATGACAGAAGGCACAAGACCCAAAACTTACAGATGTCTTCATCAGTTGGAGCTGGATGTTATGGATAAGCCATATCCTGGCTTCCCCCTTCACGATGGACATAACCCTGAAGGGGTCTTCAGGGACATGAACCATATCCCTGGACCTTTAAAGCACTATGCAGATACCTCAGGGCAATGCATTACATGTCAAGGTGAGTGCCCATGCAAGATTCAGTGCCCGATGCCTGCTCCTACAGCTTCTTCTGGGGGAGGTCTGGGTACAGTCTCTAGAGGCTCAGCCGAGGTATCAACTGATGTGGACATCTGCATGGAGAATCTTGCAGTGGCTATGGAGCAGCTAGGATAGAATAAATAATTTAAAAGGGCAAGCTTCTCTCAGTAGAGAAGAATTTATTCAGCTAAGGACACTAGAAATAAATGTAGGCTTTCTGGGAGTGGGAAGGCATATATAGGGGATGTTGCTGCTGCCTTTTTTTTACCAGTGTCCAGTCACCTGAAGGTAGCTGTGTATAACCCATGGTTAAAACAAAGATTCTACAGTACGTCCTATGCCATGTGATTAAATATGAGCTCCAGGTATGATCTTAATTGCATAGTTAAATAAGTTCAGCCTGGACCAATGTAAGTTTGTAAATCTCATATCAAAGGGACCACTATGGAAGTTGAAAATCACAGAAGTAGGTGACACTACTACAGGTATCACTGCTATCTTCCAGGTCCTATGCGCCAGCCTTAGGAATGGGAGTTACTTGCTTAGCACTGTCGCCATACACAGAAAGCCTTCCATTTTGTTCAAGAGAACAAGGCATTCCCTGACTTGACAAGGTGGCAAGGAGGGGCAGAAATGTAATTAATGTAACCATGCTGGACCAATGTAACTATGCACTTAGAATCATATAAAGCATAACTAAAGGCAAAACTTATTTTAGATTTGGAAAGAGTAGAGGGGGATTAGAATACCTGTCAGCTTTTATTGCTTTCTGTACCCTCGTTAAGGAGATTCACCATCTAATTTGGTTTGTTGACCAATATCATTGAAAGTGAAAGTAAGAGAAAATCACAAATTTTGGGTTGTCCCCAGAAAAGGAATAGAGGGGACACTAGTTCTGGTGACCTATGGGTCCCCAAGGAATTCGCTTAATTTGAAGGGATTTCCACTTACTTCCTGTTTGGCTATGGGACAGGAAGTGAAGGGAAATCTCCACAATGGGACACAGAAGGCAAAAAAAGACTGACAGGAGTTATACCCTTCCTTGTTCTATCCAAAATGATAAAAAGTTATGCCTAAAGTTCTCCTTAAAGTGGGAGTAAACTCCCACTAGACCAGCAATGGGCAAACTACGGCCCGCGGGCCGTATACGGCCCGGCGGACCTTTTAATCCGGCCCGCGGAGCGTGGCAAACATTGGCTGTCAGGATGTAGGTGGGGCAGCGTGACGAACTCCTCTCCTCTCACAGTCCGCCCTGAAGACCGGAACGGCGCGGGAACACGGCGAGAGGAACGCGCGGAGCAAAGGTAAGTGAATTGACACAATATGGGGAATGAATTACTATAGGGGGGATGAATTACTATAGGGGGGATGAATTACTATAGGGGGGATGAATTACTATATGGGGGATGAATTACTATGGGGGATGAATTAGTATATGGGGGATTAATTACTATGGGGGATGAATTACTATGGGGAATGAATTACTACATGGGGGATTAATTACTATAGGGGGGATGAATTACTATATGGGGGATGAATTACTATATGGGGGATGAATTACTATGGGGGATGAATTACTATGGGGGATGAATTACTATATGGGGGATGAATTACTATGGGGGATGAATTACTATGGGGGATGAATTACTATATGGGGGATTAATTACTATAGGGGGGATGAATTACTATATGGGGGATGAATTACTATGGGGGATGAATTACTGTGGGGGATGAATTACTATATGGGGGATTAATTACTATGGGGGAATATTACTATACTTACTATGGATGGCATGGTAGTGGCTGGGCCAGCCAGCAGCTAGTCCGGCCCCCGGGTCCAATATATGAACCCATTGCGGCCCTCAAGTCAAAAAGTTTGCCCACCCCTGCACTAGACACTAAAGCTTACCTGTAGGTACAAGGAATATCTCCTAAATGTGCACCGATATGACATTACCGTTGCATGCACTCTGAAGGAACAGCATGCCTGTGGCTTTCCTTCAGAGCTCTGTGCCGTGGGCGAGACTCTCTCGCACATGCACTGGAGTGATGACATCAATGCTTGGCCAATCAAGTGGCCAGAGCCCGTGAACCCATAAAGAAAGATCGGGCAAAGATGAAAGCCCTGTCAGCAGAGACAGTGCGCCGCTGGAGGGCATCATTTTAAGGTATGATTTTTATAATATGCTAGTATGCGATGCATGCTAGCACATTATGCTATTATTTTGCAGTGGACATTTTTTGGTCGGTTTTTACTACCGCTTTAAAGAAAAATCTTTTTTTTTTCTGCCTAATCTGGCCATAGACAATGTGATTTCTTTCTTGCAACCATGGGTTACAGAAAAGAAAATCACTTGATTACCCCATCAATGCATTCATTGCTGATGGGGGAATTCCTCATATAGAGCTATTGTGTTTAGAGATGAGCGAATTATTCAAAAATTCAATTCGGCTGATTCGGCGAATTCGTGGAATAAATTTGATTCGAGTCGAATATATTCGCTGCGAATTTAACTTAGAAAAAGGGTGTTTCTAGGCTTCAGAGAGCCTTTATATTAGTGCAGAACACTGTACCTTTAATTTAAATGCCCTTGGAGTCTGCTGGGGAAGAGAAATAATCATGTCAGTCAGTATGACATGCAGATGAGTGCCGTCGATCTTAGGATCACCACACACTTCACTCATTTGGGCAGTCACGGGGCCATAGTGTGGAGCCACAGTGTGGCGGTGGAGGCAGCAGCAATGGGAGGCCATACAGCACCCTATGAAAAAATGGAACCCCGGGGCCCATGGCAGATTAGGGGCCTGGCAGCAGCAATGGGAGGCCCGTAATCTGCCAGCACCCTATGACAAAATGGAACCCACCAGCAGTGTGAGGAGACCTGAAAGTGGCACATGGCAGAGTGTGGCGATGGAGACAGCAGCAATGGGAGGCCGTACAGGGACCCATGACACACTCTGGACCTGGCAGCAGCATGAGGAGGCGGTACAGGGGCCCATGACAGATTACGGGACCTGGCAGCAGCATGAGGAGTCGGTACGGGGGCCCATGGCAGATTACGGGCCTGGCAGCAGCAATGGGAGGCCCGTAATCTGCCAGCACCCTATGACAAAATGGAACCCACCAGCAGTGTGAGGAGACCTGAAAGTGGCACATGGCAGAGTGTGGTGATGGAGACAGCAGCAATGGGAGGCCGTACAGGGACCCATGACACACTCTGGACCTGGCAGCAGCATGAGGAGGCGGTACAGGTGTAGAGCGCCCATGACAGATTACGGGCCTGGCAGCAGCAATGGGCATGGCCCGTAAGCAGTCGGTACGGGGGCCCTATGATTACTGGCAGAGCAGCAATGGGAGGCCGTAATCTGCCAGCACCCTATGACAAAATGGAACCCACCAGCAGTGTGAGGAGACCTGAAAGTGGCACATGGCAGAGTGTGGCGATGGAGACAGCAGCAATGGGAGGCCGTACAGGGACCCATGACACACTCTGGACCTGGCAGCAGCATGAGAGGCGGTACAAGGGGCCCATGACAGATTACGGGCCTGGCAGCAGCATGAGGAGTCGGTACAGGGGGGGCCCCATGGCAGATTACGGCTGGCAGCAGCAATGGGAGGCCCGTAATCTGCCAGCACCCTATGACAAAATGGAACCCACCAGCAGTGTGAGGAGACCTGAAAGTGGCACATGGCAGAGTGTGGCGATGGAGACAGCAGCAATGGGAGGCCGTACAGGGACCCATGACACACTCTGGACCTGGCAGCAGCATGAGAGGAGGCGGTACAGGGCCCATGACAGATTACGGGCCTTATTTAGGCAGCAGCAACATGAGGAGTCGGTACGGGGGCCCATGGCAGATTACGGGCCTGGCAGCAGCAATGGGGAGGCCCGTAATCTGCCAGCACCCTATGACAAAATGGAACCCACCAGCAGTGTGAGGAGACCTGAAAGTGGCACATGGCAGAGTGTGGCGATGGAGACAGCAGCAATGGGAGGCCGTACAGGGACCCATGACACACTGCTACAGGGGACCTGCAGCAGCATGAGGAGGGCGGTACAGGGGCCCATGACAGATTACGGGCCTAGGCAGCGCATGACGGCAGTCGGTACAGGGGCCCATGGCAGATTACGGGCCTGGCAGCAGCAAATGGGAGGCCCGTAATCTGCCAGCTACCCTATGACAAAATGGAACCCACCAGCAGTGTGAGGAGACCTGAAAGTGGCACATGGCAGAGTGTGGCGATGGAGACAGCAGCAATGGGAGGCCGTACAGGGACCCATGACACACTCTGGACCTGGGCAAGCAGCATGAGGAGGCGGTACAGGGGCCCATGACAGATTACGGGCCTGGCAGCAGCATGAGGAGTCGGTACGGGGGCCCATGGCAGATTACGGGCCTGGCAGCAGCAATGGGAGGCCCGTAATCTGCCAGCACCCTATGACAAAATGGAACCCACCAGCAGTGTGAGGAGACCTGAAAGTGGCACATGGCAGAGGTGTGGCGATGGAGACAGCAGCAATGGGAGGAGTTACAGGGCCGTACAGGGACCCCATGACCACTCTGGACCTGGCAGCAGCATGATGAGGTCGGTACAGGGGCCCATGGCAGATTACGGGCCTGGCAGCAGCAATGGGAGGAGTCGGGCAGATGAGTGTGGCCATGGCAGAGTCGTGGCCTGGACAGCAGCAATCTGACCCAGCACCCTATGACAGGGCGGTAAAAATGGCAAAACCCACCAGCAGTGTGAGTGAGACCTGAAAGTGGCACATGGCAGAGTGTGGCGATGGAGACAGCAGCAATGGGAGGCCGTACAGGGACCCATGACACACCTCTGGACCTGGCAGCAGCATGAGGAGGCGGTAGGGGCCCATGACACGGGCCCATGACAGATTACGGGCCTGGATGACCGTCGGCAGCAAAATGGGGAGGCCGTAATCTGCCAGCACCCTATGACAAAATGGAACCCACCAGCAGTGTGAGGAGACCTGAAAGTGGCACATGGCAGAGTGTGGCGATGGAAGACAGCAGCAATGGGAGGCCGTACAGGGACCCATGACACACTCTGGACCTGGCAGCAGCATGAGGAGGAGGTACAGGGGCCCATGACAGATTACGGGCCTGGCAGCAGCATGAGGAGTCGGTACGGGGGCCCATGGCAGATTAAGGGCCTGGCAGCAGCAATGGGAGGCCCATAATCTGCCAGCACCCTATGACAAAATGGAACCCACCAGCAGTGTGAGGAGACCTGAAAGTGGCTCATGGCAGAGTGTGGCGATGGAGACAGCAGCAATGGGAGGCCGTACAGGGACCCATGACACACTCTGGACCTGGCAGCAGCAAGAGGAGGCGGTACAGGGGCCCATGGCAGAGTGGCGAAGCGTAAGCAGCTTAAATTGAAGGCCATACAGAGGCCTATGTTAAAAATAATAACATGTTTGGGGCATGATTCATGGCGGATTTAGTCAGTTGTGTCAGGAACTGGTGGTTTGAAATCCAGACTAATCCACGCCTGATTCATTTTCACAAACGTGAGTCTCTCCACACTTTGGGTGGACAGTCGTGTCCTCCGCGGAGTTACAATACCTCCTGCCGCACTAAGCACGCGCTCCGATGCCACGCTACTGGCCGGGCATGACAGCCTTTCAAGGGCAAATTCAGCTAGTTGGGGCCAAAGGTCAAGTTTCGTTGCCCAGTAGTCAAGGGGATTGTCTACCTCGGTTGGCAGGGTGCTGTCCAAGTAGGCCCAAGCCTGTTGTTTGAGGTCCTGCTCCAGGTCCACCTGATGCTGCTGCTGCTGCGGCTGGTTAGTAGTTTCCTCACTGCCCTGGTGAAGAAAGCTACTCATCATCGACTGCAGACTGAGGCAGCTGCTGCTGGTGGAGCTGCCACTGCTCCTACCACCCCACCCCTCCCCTGCTGCCATGGCAGCGGAACGCGAGCGCACAGGGCCCACAGTGTCTGAGGATGGACGTTGGCGCAGAAAGGCAGAGACCAACTGACTACATAGGTGGTTTTTATAGTACGTTATTTTGGCCTCCCTCTCAGCAGGTGTGAAAAAGGCCACCATTTTTGAATGGTAGCGAGGGTCCAACAAGGTGGACAGCCAAAAGTCATCCCTCTGTCTGATGGTTATTATTCGGCTGTCGCTACGCAAGCAACCGAGCATGCTATGGGCCATTTGTGCCAAGGAATGCGAGGGACTCCCTGCCTCCATCTCCACAGCATACTGCCACGGTGCATCTGGGTCCTCTGTCTCTCCTCCTCCTCTACCAGATGCTCCTGCTCCTCCACTCCTGTCCGCTGAGTGGAAAAACCACCCATTTCACTCAATAATTCCTGAGCACCAATGTCCTCCTCTACCTCCTCCTCTTCTTCCTGTCCTGCCCCCACAGGGGTCATGTGGCGTTGAGATCTGTGCGCCACGTCTACCGCACCCTGACCAGCCATTGTTAACAGCATTTGTTCCAGGACATGCAACAGAGGAATGACGTCGTTCATCCCATAGTCCTGCCGACTCACGAATAGCGTGGCCTCCTCAAAGGGCCTGAGCAAGCGGCAGGTGTCACGCATGAGCTGCCAATGGCTGACATCTAAGTTACACAGGGGAGTACCTTTATCCGCTTGTAACATCAGGAAATCGGTGATGGCCTTTTGCTGTTCGTAAAGGCGGTCTAACATATGTAGGGTTGAATTCCACCTTGTTGCAACGTCGCAGATCAGGCGATGCTGTGGAATTCCGTTCTGCCGCTGCAGCTCAAGGAGGGTGTGCTTTGCGGTGTAGGAATGGCTGAAATGCATGCAAAGTTTACGTGACATTTTAAGGATGTCTTGCAGTGGGATGGTGGATTTTAGGAACCGCTTCACAACCAGATTGAACACGTGAGCCATGCATGGCGCATGGCACAACCTTCCTTGATGCAGAGCAGACACCATGTTCTTTCCGTTGTCGGTCAACATGGTTCCGATTTTCAGTTTGCGCGGAGACAGCCATCTGTCGATTTCTCTGTTCATTACACTCAGAAGTTCCTCCCCTGTGTGACTACGTTCGCCAAGGCATACCAGGTGCAGCACAGCGTGACACCGTTGCGCCCTGCACATGTGATATGCCGGTCGGGTAATGGGACTTGGCACGGGGGGTGGCGGCTGAGGACACGGGCGGAAGAAGAGGTGGTAGAGCCGGACATCTTTGCTGGACCAAGGACGTGCAAACGTGGAGGCAAAAGCGGCGTGACCTGTCCAAGTTGCTGGTGCGGCTGTGCCGGCACCACGTTCACCCAGTGGCCGTAAATGACATGTACTGTCCCTGACCGTAGTTACAGCTCCACACGTCGGCGCTGCCGTGCACTTTGGCAGAGACCGACATGCTCAAAGACTGGCCCACCATCTCTTCTACATGTGAATGCAGGGCTGGCACTGCCTTTTTGGCGTGAAGAAATGCCGGCTTGGCACTCTCCACCGCGGCTCGGCACAAGCCATCATTTCTCGGAAAGGTGCTGAGTCCACCACTTGGAAAGGGAGGGACTGCAGCACCAGCAACTTGGACAGGAGGACGTTCAGCTTCTGCACCGTCGGGTGCGTGCTCGCAAACTGTTGTCTCTTGGAAACGGATTCCAAGAAAGACTGCTGACGGAATCCGTGAAGAGGAGAGTAGAGTAGCAGGAGAAGGAGCATCTGAACGAGCGGAAGATGCCAACGAGCGACATCTCCCCTCAGCAGAGGTGTTGGAGCCTTGACTGGCTGATAGAGGGCGATTGACGTCGGGTGACGGAGCAAGTAACGGAGCGGGTGATGGATGCGGGGGCTGGGGCAGGCAGCAGAACCGCCGCCGTATCTTTATCACACGGTTTTCCCAGGCCACCGAATGGCGACGCTGCATATGCTGCCGCAACGCTGTAGTCCCAACATGGGCCCCCTGGCCACGCTTGACTTTCTGGCCACATAGTCGACATACGGCTACGTTTACTTCCTCGGGCGGCTTGACGAAAAATTGCCACACCGCCGAGTAGGAAACTTTGCCCCCGCTACTCCTCACTGGCTGACTGCTACTTCCTCCGTGCACACCGGCACCACTACTGGCCGTGGTGGTAGGCTGCAGTGGAGCTGGTGCTCTACTCCGTGGCCGTTTGCCTCCACTGACACTGCTGCGACCCTGCTGCCTGGGCAACCCACCGACTGTTTTGCTCGCTGCCAAGCTGGCACCCTCTTCTCCTGATGATGCGGAAGCAATAGCCTGATGACGACGAGGCTGCCAAGTGCGATCAGCCTCATCATCATCAATCAATTAGGGTCTCCGCCTCACTACTAGCCCCCTCGGCTGCGTGTGGGTCAGGAGACAGACCTGTCTCTAGACCGGCTACCGAGCCACTCTCCTCGCCCAGTACTTCTTCGCCTGGCTGCTGAAGAGGCGGATGTCTCCCCCCGTTCCTGACCGCCCTCTGTTAGCTCTTCCTCACTGTACAGTGGGGCTGAGCCCACAGCATGCGATACTTCGCTTGGTGAGGGAACACCAAAGGACAGGGGCAGGTAGAGGACACGTGATTTCAGTGGGCTTGCTCCCGGGCCATGCCAACTAACGGTTGTTGTGTCTGACGTACCCACCGACCGTTGGCTGTAGGTGTCAGAGGTGACCTGGGAAGAGAGGAAGACGACCGAGCCAACCAATTGATGACGGCAGGGTTGTCGGTGGAGACACAACCGCTGGATGACACCGGGAGCACTGGCCTCTGGCTGCGACTAGTGCTGCCTCGACCCCTTCCTCTGCTGCCACGTCTGCTCGCTCCTGAAACATTGCCTCCTCTGCCACTCCTCTGCGTGTTGTCTGACATACTCTTTAATTCAACGATTCTGTGTCCCTGAGTAAACTGAGTAACGATTCTGTGTCCCTGAGTAACGATTCTGTGTCCCTGAGTAACGATTCTGTGTCCCTGAGTAACGATTCTGTGTCCCTGAGTAACGATTCTGTGTCCCTGAGTAACGATTCTGTGTCCCTCAGTAACGATTCTGTGTCCCTGAGTAACGATTCTGTGTCCCTGAGTAACGATTCTGTGTCCCTGAGTAACGATTCTGTGTCCCTGAGTAACGATTCTGTGTCCCTGAGTAACGATTCTGTGTCCCTGAGTAACAATTCTGTGTCCCTGAGTAACAATTCTGTGTCCCTGTAACAATTCTGTGTCCCTGAGTAACAATTCTGTGTCCCTGAGTAACAATTCTGTGTCCCTGAGTAACAATTCTGTGTCCCTCAGTAACAATTCTGTGTCCCTGAGTAACAATTCTGTGTCCCTCAGTAACGATTCTGTGTCCTCAGTAACGATTCTGTGTCCCCTGAGTAACAATTCTGTGTGTCCCTGAGTAACGATTCTGTGTCCCTGAGTAACGATTCTGTGTCCCTGAGTAACGATTCTGTGTCCCTGAGTAACGATTCTGTGTCCCTGAGTAACGATTCTGTGTCCCTCAGTAACGATTCTGTGTCCCTGAGTAACGATTCTGTGTCCCTGAGTAACGATTCTGTGTCCCTGAGTAACGATTCTGTGTCCCTGAGTAACGATTCTGTGTCCCTGAGTAACGATTCTGTGTCCCTGAGT